GAGACTCCATTAGATAGATTGAAAGTTTCATTCGTCACGGATATTTCGCCGAGCCTTCCACGAAGCACCTCCAGCGAAGGGTATTAATTCACGTTCAATCAATTCTACGCTAACATGCCACGTTTGAAATTCCGGAACTGTCACTCTGTTCTTATCAATTAAAGAAGATATATTTGCTATCTTTACACCGGTCTTCGGTGGTTCCACAATCGTGAAGTTAATTAAAGAATGTAATATGACGTCGTGGAAATCCTGGTGTCCTGAAATACAACACCAGCCGCAGTTCAATAATAGCATTTTGAATATCGTTGAAAGTAATCATACCAGTTTTTTTGCACCAAGAGTAATTCATTCGATTATGAACAGCTGGGACTCGTAAGCTTCGTTCCCAAGAAAATCGCGCCCGGAGCACGTCTTAGTTTCCATACACGAATTTCCACCCCCATTTGTCACGCGTCTCGCAAGGCTACTTATTTGTACACGGCCGGGTGTTCATATCCCGCGACGATAGAACGCAACTGCGCCCCGAATTTACCAGTCTGAGAATGATCGATCCTCGAAGGGGGTCAGCTTGCTTCGACGAGGCATTAGTCCTCGCGCTGCGTTTCCGCTACACCTACACCCCGCACCACCCTCCCGCGCCCCTTGGCTCGACGAGCCGATCGTACGTTGGTAACTGCTTTGTTGCACGATCAGGTCGTTGCCAAGCGTCTCTGCGGAGCACTCTTTGGCGAAATCGACTGGCGCCGGGGTCCGATATTACTTCGTCGGAAAAGTAATTTACGACGTCGTTCGGATTTCATCTGGATGGTCTTCGAAATCGAACGATTCATGAAGCGAGATAAAAGCCGATCCCGTTTCCCTATACACAGTTTTTCACCGTCAGACCGTCCCGCCGGGCTGTCAGTTCGCTGCTTTATGCGCCGCTTTTTACTGTCCCGAGACAGGATCGCACGAGCTCCGTTCCGAGCACGGTGGAAATGGGAGTTTCGGTGGATCCGATGCGACCTGGGCCAAGTTGGAGCGATGTAATTGGGTTTGAAGCGAAAGACGGGAGAACTTTGGGAGACAGTTGCGCGTGACGAGACAAAGAGGCAAGTTTAAAGCTGCCGTTGAAAGCAGTTTACACGCGGGTTGCGCTGTTAAATGGTCCGGGTCTCTGGTCGTACCAAGATTTCTGGTTGCATCGTCAGGCGCTGCGAAAGCTCACTGTCGAGACGACGAAAGAAACATTCCATAATCCTGAATCCCTAACAATTCGCGAGATGCGACGAAACAACTTCGAACACCATCAAACGCTTTGTTTGCACAGCTCTTGGTCCGAAACTAATCGGAGATGGATTGAACGATAATTTCGCGATGTCTCAACTGAATCCAGAGATAATTTAGATCTAGATTGTACAAACCATTCCCAACTTAATCTAACTCTCAGCATCGTGAATCGATTAGATTCATGGCGTTGATTTAATCTAATGGAATCCAAGTCGTTTTTAGTCCATTACCTTCTCGTTGATGTAAAGTACTCAAACGATAAGACAGATCGTTTTGTAGACAATGTAGAACACTTAACGATAAAACAAGTCGCTCGGTTGATACTGTAGAACACTCTGTTGGTAATTGCTTCGTACAAATAGAGTTCTACATTGCCGACAGTGTACACTGAAATACCGATAGTACTCTACCTTGTCACATTTTTACTCTAGCTTAACTAAAGTCTTCTTAAAACTACTTCATTCCACACTCCTAACTTGAAACAGCATGCACTGTTTTGTTATGTCCTTTTCGAGCACTCGAAACTCCGTTTAAAATCCTCTCTACAGCAATTCCTCAATGCAAAGTGTCGCTAGAATCGGATCAGATAACCGTTGGACGCGTCACTCAATGGTGCGCGCGATATCCCCCCGGAAATTTCGGATAAATCTGTCGGCGTGCGAGTCATCGCGGAGGCGTGATATCTGCGAGTGCACGCGCCAACGATATTCGGCATATCTATTCCCCGCTCGAACGCGAAGTGCCTATCGAGGCGATTTTTTTTCTACCCACGTGAACGCTCGCGATTCTGGCCGGGCTCTGTCATAATTGCATTTACCGATTGACGCGGCTCGCAGGGCGCTAGTATCGCGACGCTTCGTTGGCGCTGGATCGTCATTAATGGGATTTCGCCGGACACTGCTACGCCCGATTCGAAAACAATAACGGGTTACGGTTACTGTAATGGGTAACGATAACGGGCGAAAAAACATCAACTACCAATTTTTGCCGCGATCGCCGCTGGCCGCATCGATACATAGGACGACTCTCTGTTCGTAGAAATTGGCACGATGGCTCGGCAAATGGTTTGTGTTTATTGCTAATAGAGAACATTCAGTGCGACGCCAGTTTCGATAAAAAAAAAGTACACAGAAAATTACGGGAAACGTATTTTCGGTGAGCTATGGTGACGATGGTTTAAAAGGTGAAACTGCCTTCTAAAAATAGACACCGATTCGAGTTTAGGAATTGTACTAAAAGGATAAAAATATTTTCTTTCGTTCATGCATTCATATTGCATATAGTTGTATCGAAATCCAAAACTCGAAATATTGAGAATAAGAGAAGGAAAAATCAATCCTGAAAGGAGTAACGCCCCGTACTGGGTCAGACCTGAGCGAACAAAAATTGTTTCACCCGTGCCCCGTTTTTCTACTTTACGCGACAATACAGGTTCGCGCGTGTTTCTTAGCCCCCGGTACGGCAACCGACAGCGAAATATGAAGTCTCGAGTGTTGGTGGTGACTTTTCAAACGGGTCGCGATACGTCCAATCGACAACGCCCTTGTTTATCGCGGGGGATGCAATTTCCACCCCCGTGTTGTCGCTCGCGACGGTCTTATTTCGCGAATTTCATCAAATTCTGACGTAAGTTACAATGAACTCTATACAGCCCACCCAGGTGGAAGCGATTGGAAGTTCGAAAGGGGGAAGTGCACCCGGATGAGAAATCGACTTCCCCACCATTCGTGCTTACGTGACAAATATTTGAAGATCGGTAGTTCTCGGGTATTTCCGTGTCGGGGCGCGGGAACAACGCGCTGCAAGTGACAGGGTACAGTTACTCCCGTCAAATGTTTACGCAGCGGATGGTTTAATAACCCCAGAGCGACGGGGTAACGCGCAACCGATGGAAATATTTTTCAGCCCTTTGTCTTCCATTCGCTTTGTGCAAACTTAATTCTACGATGCTGCCACGCGAACAATTTTCCCTTTTTCCTTTCGTGAAAAACGCTTGATACCCCGTAAGCAAGAATTATGGCATTCTACATTCTCTCAACCCCTTCAAGATAAACGTGAATGCTCGCCCAACAGCGACGTAAGAAATTGCGTGGTCGCTTCGATCGTTAAGTTCCCGATTATCGCGTATCGTGGCATCGTCCGTGCTAAACTATACTATGTAATAGTTAGCGAGCTCAAACTTCCGCCATACGGTGCGGCAAATTATTCGAATTCCGTCTGGCAGCCTACCATCGATCGGCCATGGTTACCGAAAATTAGAAATTGCCGTCTATCGACGACTAGAAGGAGCAACAGCTGCGAACACCGATATTGAATCACTGTAGGGGCTCGAACGAGGTTAGGTAGACGGTATTTTCCCTAAGCATCCCTGAATTAATAACGGGGAGCTGCTGCAACAATTCTTGCGGGGTCGATATTGTCGAATCGAAAAGAAATTGAGAAGAATTTGAAAGTCGACCGGTTCCCGAATAAATCGTATTAATTTTTGCGTGGAAACGGGAAGACGTTTCCATCCAATTTTCGCAAGGAAAATGTCGGTGAAATAAGTCACCGACTTTCCTCTCGAACCGTCTGGGATGCATTGAAAAGCGGAACGATAATATCTGGAGCCTTGAAAGCTCGAGGGGTTGAAATCGTTATGGCGTTGCGTGCGGTAAATAGATAAATGCCGACTTGAAGTGCATGAAACGCCACGACGAAGGCAGATAGGGCGCGCCGAATCGTGAAAATGTATTACCTCGGAAATAATTTGCATTTAGATCCCTCGATAGCTCAACAGAGTGCGCGCTCTGGCATGTCTCGAGGCGGTTTTTAAAATTCTGATGCTAAGCGACTTTGCACCAGTTCAGCGTTAATATTGTACATAATATACTTTTGCAGATTTAATTAGGGGAATAACACTGTTAAAGTTGAGAATTATCGAGTTCGTACTGTAAAAGTAGTGGGAACTCCTCTTGAATGTAGGGGTTTAAGTTTTGACTCGTGAATCGTTGACTCGTACTACTTACCTAAATTTGTATTCAACGTGTATCAGTTAAGCGACGATTCTGAACTGTTTCGGAAGAATAATTACCTTTTCTGTAGTGAAACATAACATATACGTGCTTTGAAAGATAAGATATTTCTTCGAGTGCTCAATCATTGACTCGTACTACTTCTATCAGCACTGATGCTAATCCACGATTACCCGGGAGTGACGAACAAGCCTAATGCCTTTTTCATGACAGGTTGTCATTGTTTAACGAAAACAAAATGTATGAAAACTCCAAGCATAGGAAAATGGATTCCAGTTCGATAATTATTGACTCATACTACTTATTTCCGTATTGGCATTTACATTCCACCACTGTGGGACGACTATGAACCTTTTCAGGTCATGAACTACCTTTTCCAGAGCGAAAGATACCATATTCCTTGAAAGGTGAAATATTATTTCTTCGATTATTCAATGGTTGACTCTCACTACTTCCTTCAACATTGCTTTTCAGTCACGACAAACCAAAATCGATGTACCCAATCTAAGACTCTTCAGATCGAAGATTCTCCACTTTCAAAGTAAACCAATACTCGCATATCCTTCGAAAATTAAAATATTTATTCTGTACCTACAAATCGTTGATCCATACTACTGGTTCTACCACTAATCGTCACGTATTAATCAAAATAGACGTCGCACAATCAAACAGGGATGTTTTAATCTAACATATAATTTTTCCTTGTGCTTTCAGCGATTACACAGGGATCCTACATCAGGTATTACACAGCCGCTTGGTACGATACCGTAGCACTGAGAGAACATCGTATCAGAAGTCGTCGTGACACTTCGGCTTCCGGGCATCCGGGGGACACGACGTTGAATCTACGCCTTCATGCTCTCGACAGGTTCGTAAAACCACGTATTCTTGGTGGAAATGGAAAGGAAAAGAAGGGTAGAAATGGAGTAAAGGGGCGTGGGGGCGAAGGAGGACGATCGTAGTAGAGCTTTGTCGAGAAAATTTCTACTTTCTCGCGCCAGTCAAAGGCTGAATAATCATTCGATGAACGGTAGTTTTTCGCCGAGTTACAACAGAGGAATATAAATTTTCATTCCGCGTCGACGTCAACTGACAACCATTTTCCGCGACGTACAGATGCTCCCGATGAAAAATAAACGCGAACCAGGCCGTGAGTACGACCAAAAATTGCGGCTGGAACGTTAGCATGCTCGACGTGGCATAGTTCGTTTTGGGGGGTAAAAATGAACGGGCGTGGTTTAGCAGCCGCGCCTAATAATTCATTTACCATGATAATTATTTCATTCAACGTTCGCTGTTGGTGGCAGCCTTGCGAGTTTTCGCGAGGCTGTTTAACGCTTTACACCCCTGGTGATTTTATACGTTCTCTCGACATAATGCACAACAACGAGTACCTTCGCTCGCGCGCGTCTGCGAAACGGGTAATTATTTTATGCGCGCGGAAAGAGGTTTCTCTCGAGAGCGCAAGTTCTGGACGAACTTCCAAGACAAAGAAGCCAAATCATCTCGTCCCAGCCGGGGTCCGTTTTATTATATTTCTGCCGTTTGGCGTCGAGCATAATTTAACGCTTGAGTAGTTTAGACGGGCCTCGAGTGGAAGTGTCTAAAATAAGGCAGACATATCGGGACGTTCAAAAGGAAAATCGTCGGAAACTAGAGGTGGCGTTTCGTTGCGAATACACTGTGTTATGCGTTTGAAGTTAAGTGCACTTTGATGCATCGTCAGTCAAAACGATTTACAGTAGACGTATCCGAAATAAATCAGCCATCGGTGACAATGTGGAAATACTCAGAAGTTTTAATATCTAGCAACGGTATTTAATCGTGAAGTGAATATGTAGATCTTAAATTAGAGTTTCATTCAGCAGTTTCGATAGAAATATCTGAATAATATCGAGCATCATGCATAATTTCGTATTTCGATATTTTGTTACGCGTTGATTCGCAGAATTGGAATCGCCACCGTTATGAGACCAGAAAGGATGAATGGGAAACTTAAAATAAGAATTCTATTACCAATACATTATGACGTATAGTTAATTTCAAACGGACTGCGAGTGTATATAGTAAACAGCTCCAGGCGTAGAGAATAAATCGAGCGAGGTTATGGAAGGTAAAATATAATACAGACGACGAATAAATAAAACCGTAAATGAATAGATGATGGAACAATTTCAAGCGGATATAAAAAATGTCAAGTTTCTAAAAATTCCTGTTTTATTCCAATCTGAATAAAGCTATTAGGATCAGAGATACCACCACTTGGAAATTCCGCTAGCGTGTTACGAGGACGATTATACTTTTCATGTAGATTAACATATTTCTATGAAAATTTGCACTAAAAAAAAACTGTTCAAAATATGAGATTTTAAGTTGTGCAAGGTACGTTTAAATACGAATTTTAATGCCCCCAGAAAAAAATTCTCAAACTGCAGCATTTTTTCTGCCAAAAAGTTGTTGTTGCCTTTAAGTGCGACAGTTGCCAAACAACTCCCTTGCAGTTGGCATACGCATGTTTGCTCTATCTCCTCGTGCCGTCTCGACATGTGGAACGATCGTCAGCCTCATGTGACATTGGCCCGACATGGTGGCCATACGCCTCGTTGAGCATCGCGATACGCCGTCACTGTGTTGTCACTGCCATCGACACGAGCCTCCTAAATCTTCGCGTTACACTCAAAAGCACAGCCAGGTCTGTTTCAGTGTCGCTGAACCGTTTCCTCTAATTGTCCTGGCCAACCCTTTTCTGTACGCCGATCATCCCCCTTGTTCCTTCTTTTTCCCTAGAATACATTGGAAGTGCAATATTTATTACAAAAGTTAATGAAAGTTAGAGCTAGAGATATTTGTCGAGTTACAGGTCTCGCAAAAGCTGATTCAAATGGCTGACTTAATATAATCAGGAACTACTGCCAAGACTGATTTTACATTCTCCGAACAACACATTACGTATGCGATTTTATTAAAATTAAGGAGGGTATGTCTATTTAGTAGTCACTATAGTTTAACCTTGTATTTTTTAATTCTTGAGCCTTTCCCAAATTCATTTATGCGTGTTACATTGATCACCCTCTCAATATTACACTTCGTCACACCAACTACCCTATGTAGACTTCATTTCCCTGGATTCTATTTTTTTGGTGCTCAACTCCATCCACCCTCTCTCGAGTCGCAAAACTTATCGCACCTTTAATTTATCAACTCTTCCTCCAACATAGTCTATTCTCTCAGCCACTTTCTACTCCCCCTATCGCGTAGCTACTTTTCCTTTCCTCCCTGTTTCTTCGATTTCCCCATCAACCCCCCGTTCTCCATCAAACTTCGCACCGCCTCGTTTTTGCCCTCTTCCCAACCCCCAACTCTTGTTTTTTGGCCTGACAGTTTCCCTCTTTGCTCCAGTTTTCCCGCACCCCCGTCTCCTCCTCGTTGCTGCATCCGCCTCGCATTTGGTCGATACGAGGCAGTCGCGATTCGAGTCGCAGCCACCTGGCTCGAGTGCGTCGTCGGAGAGGGTTGCTGCTCCCTTTGTGCGAGCACGTTCTCGATTGGATCCGTCGCGAAAAGTCGACTCACCCTTTGCCCACCGATCCGAAAAACCGAGAAAATCGCGTGCAAGTTCGAGAGACTTATCGCTGCCAAAATACCACCGCTCGGTTCTTTATACCCCCGAGAAGGTGGGGGTGGGGGGATGCAGCCGGTTCCCGAGCACTAAATTTTCCGTTGAAATACGAACGCCCGGAATGGAAGAGGGAAAAAATACTGGCGGAAGAAAGTGGCGGTGAAATTTATAAATGCGTGCTTCGGTCACGATTGCCGCGGGGGTGGGTTCTGGTGCAAGGGTTTGCACGGATGTACGACGGACGCGTGGGTTGCGGTCAATTTATTATGGAACCCGTTGAGAGGGACTGAGAGTCTCGAGGGGATGGTTTTTGCGGGTAGCTTATATAATACTTTCATTTTCAGAGTTTTAACCACGTGACTAGATGAATAGTCACCTGGACATTTTTGCAGTATCTCTACTGAGAATAACAAATACCTTTGATTAAAATTAATATTTATTAGGCATTCCTTTTATTTATTTCACTGTTTGGAAAATCAATTATGGAATTGTTTATAAAATTAGGTATGGAATTAATAATCGAGCTCGAATATAAGTAGTAAAGTTAGCCTTGGTCTTTGACCGCAAAATGTACTTCGATGTAACCATGTTTTATTTGAATACGGTTCCACTCGGTTTATCAAACTTCTTCCACGACGTTTACCAGTTGAAGAAAAGACAAACCGAAAGTTCTGGCGAACCTTTCCGGCTACAGACGATAAAACTTCGTTTTTATTGTCTGATTCGGTTATAGAGGCCGATGGCGGGGCAGCTTTACGACAGACGGAGTATCAAACTCGAGGGAAAACAACTGAAATTCCTCCGCTCCCTCGATAAAGCTAAGTAGCGGATAAATTCAGGGATACCGTGACCCCGTATTTCTATCCACTGTCGTACCAGCCCTCAAACACATCTCAAAACGGTGACACGTGCATTACATCCTGGTATAAAACTTACAAACGAAAATAGAAGTCTTTTAGAATCCGGAAGAGTCACGAAATTTGGTCGTTTTTTAATTTATTTACACCACTGCCATATTTTTCATTTCATTTCTAATACCAATACAGCAACGAGTCTCAAAAAATGTAACGGATAGCGCACAGTTTACTCTCGAAGCGTGGCGACTGTATCGCCCGAAAGAGGGTGAACTATAGTCCAAAACAGCCACCACCCTTAAAAAGAACATTCCGGAGCGGAAACAGCAATTCACGAATGGTACGAATGGTCCTCGTCCAACCTATGCCATTTCTCAGTGACATTTTCCACAACCCAGTATGGAATTTGAAATGATCTCACGAAAGAACCACCCTCTGCCAGCGAGGGTAGGAAGTTCACCGTGTCCAACCATTGAGTACCCCATTTTGATTTTATCCTCGTAATTAAAAAACGGTCGACAAGAGGTATAAAAGGGGATTATCCGACGAGAAAGGCAGGGTGCAAGAACAAGGGAAAAAGCATCCCCTTTTGCGATTAACCCGCCCTTAAATGGGGTAGTTAAAGCCGATCGTCATCGCTGGGACAACGATATTGCGATGGAGACGGATCAGTTAATATTATTCGCCGGTAATGTTCCGACCCTCCTCTCCTGGAAATCGTGTTTCCCGCGCAATCCTACCGGCAGGGGTGCAATTAAAATCGGCGACGCGTTCGTTGCATCGCGTCGCTGCGTCGCGTTCCGATTTTCTTTCATTACAGGCGGGCACGATTTAATTGGATTGTTCGTTAATGAGTTCCTTGAGCGATAATCGGCCGAACTGTTGCGAATAAACCGGCGCCGCGCTTCCAATTAACCTTAATATCGGCACTTATAGCGCACGGGGGCCGATTACCGTCCTTTAATTATAGAAATTCGGACGTGCCGATCGGCGAAAGGGCACACACGACGCGGCCGGAGGAATCAATTCGAAATCGATTCGAACGGGACAAATAGGGTAGTCACCCTCTGTCAGGGGATGCACGTGTCTCTCTACAAACTTTCTGTAATGATTTGCTGGCCATTAACCAGCCTTGTCAAGCCTGCATCCAGGGAGCAGTACTTTTTTAATGCACAATACTCCGTTTTGTGAAATTGGTAAACAATTTGTTTTGCTAAGTGAACTTCAAATTAACTTTAGAGTTAGTTGAGCATAACGACGGCGAATATGTTTTTCAATAATAGAATGTGTAAATTGGTGCGGGAGTATTAATTTATATTTTACGGCGAATGTCTGACTATTTCCGTACTTTTCTACTTATTTCAGAAGCCAAGTAGAACAACTCCGATTGCGGAG